AACCCAAGATGGAAGCTTTGCGGTTCAACTTACTTGATTGCGCAGATTCAGTTCTATCCAACTCGAAATTGTACTGTTTTGTTTGGTTGACTATAGTGTAGCAGGGCAGGCACTATAGGGGTACAATTTAGGTGAAGGTTTGATGTTGTTTGTCTGTATCTGCATGCTACAGGGCCAGGGGAAACCAGCGGAACCAGCATTTGGCTGGTTGGGCAAAGACAAAACAGGTTCTGTTTTTAGGACCTGAACCTGGTTGTTGTTTCCCCAGGTTGGAAAAAACAGAACCAGAGGTTGTTCACCAACCTATCACCTGCTATTTTGTCCAGCCAGGTTGGTTCTGTTGCTTGGAATTATTTGGGATCATCCCTGGTTGTTCCCAGGTTGATTCCCAAGGTCCTTGCTAGCTAGAGCTATTTATTCCTTCTCTGTTTGTACCTGAATATAGTGAAATTGATTCAAGCGAATTCCTTCCTTGCTGGAATTTCTTTTCTACGCGGTGCGACGGCGGAATGCTACCCGAGTCAACGCTAGTACGCTAGCACTCCAACGCTAGGCTAACGCTGCCCGAGCCATAACTTCGTAATGGCAGAACTTTTCGCGAGGCAACTTGGCTTATTTTAAAGCTCTTAGAGTGAGCTTCGATATAGAAAATTCTCAGCTTAATCCGATCGACGGTCTGCACGATACGCTGCGCGACGTTCAAGGTACTCTTGCTGTTTTGACTAAGTCCCTCTTGATCCCTCTCTCTACAAACTCCGACCCGAGGATAGGGGCTGGTCTTGTACCAGGCACCCAAGGACCACTGGAGGTGACCCCGAGGAGAGGTTTTAAGTGTGATAAAGTCTTAATAGCTTAAGTTTATTAGGCCCTTACACCAACAGATCCCAAATAATTCCAAGCAACAGAACCAACCTGGCTGGACAAAACAGCAGGTGGTAGGTTGGTAAACAACCTCTGGTTCTGTTTTTCCAACCTGGGAAAACAACAACCAGGTTCAGGTCCTAAAAACAGAACCTGTTTTGTCTTTGCCCAACCAGCCAAATGCTGGTTCCGCTGGTTTCCCCTGGCCCTGTAGCATGCAGATACAGACAAACAACATCCAACCTTCACCTAAATTGTACCCCTATAGTGCCTGCCCTGCTACACTATAGTCAACCAAACAAAACACTACAATTTCGAGTTGGATAGAACTGAATCTGCGCAATCAAGTAAGTTGAACCGCAAAGCTTCCATCTTGGGTTCCTTTGCGAGCTCGTCCTTTCTGCTTGTACTGTTCATAGCGCGTACAATGTTATGCCGAAGCGCAAAATGCGCGAGTACCTACAAATGCTTCAAGCGAAAATTGCGAAAGCAAACAAACACACCAACATTCCATTCATACCCAAATGCATTCGCACACGCATACTCGTACAAATAGACGGCAGGATGTCGTGCAATGTGAATTTGCACCCAACATTTTCGCCCTCACTGAAGCTGCCACGTTGTCCGCTTTCTGCTTCGGGGGTGCCGTACTGTTCTTGTCCCTCAGCTCCGCACGCCTTTTGTTCATTTTCCAACACGCCAAGATACGATGTCCTGTAGCGCCGCAAAATTCGCACGTCTCGTTGTTTGCTAGCCGCTGCTCCACATCGCCCTTGTCGTTCTCCATCGGGTCTGCAGTCGTGGGTGGTGCCAATCGCCCCATGCCACTATTTGGCTTGTTGCGTCCTGTTCCGTAGTAGCTACTTTTCAACGCGTCGAACTGTTCGATCAATACTGCACGAGACTGCGCCCACGTCCCTTCGCCTTGGACTATACTGTTGTTGATCCACTTTAGAGCTGGGCCTCATAACAGTGTTGTTGCGAGCCGTATGCGCATTGCGTCTTGGTTGAGGGTCGTTCATCCAACGGCTTCGAATAAATTTTCTAGTACAGCTACAAATCGGCGGACGTCGCTCCCTTTCGCGCTAGGTTCGAACGCCTCTCGTTGCCTCGGCTTCACTGCTTCGAGATTAGCTGTAGCTGCTACCGTTGTCGCATGTAGAATTGTCGGTGTCGCTGCTGCAGCTGCTGCTGTCGCTGCTGCATTCGCTGCTGCTGTGGCGGTTGCTAACTGGTTCGCAAGGAGTTTCTCGAGTCGTGGGCGCGCCCGCACATATCTGCTTATGCTCGGCACGTAATTCCGCGAATTTCAGTACTGAAATATCTCTTTTTCCCTCCATTTGGCGATTTACAAGAAGATGCGCGACGAAAATAATTGAATTATAGGTGCTGATCGACTTACTGCGAGTCAAGTGTCAAACATATATGCTATAGTCTGTGTAGGGTGTAGTAGGGTAGATAATATGGGGTACAACACTTTTAGGTTTTCCTACTTGTGCCCACCTGTTTCCTAGTGCATTCATTCCCCGTTTTTTGACATGGTAAAGAGCATGTTCCCTAGTGGGAACGTTTCCTAGGGCCCACCGAATATCAATTTTTTTTTCCTGCCCGGAGCGCCTTTCGCCCCTGCCCGAGTCGCGCCCCGTGTGCCTGCCCTCCCGTTGCGTCCCCTGCCCTTAGCGGCCCGTCGCGCCCTCTTACGGCCCCGTAGCGGCCCCTCTCACGGCCCCTCGCGGCCCCTTCGCCGCTCCCTCGCGGCCCCTCCGCGGCCCTTCGCGGCCCCTTCGCCACCCCTCGCGGCCCCTCCGCGGCCCTTCGCGGCCCCTATCACGGCCCCTCGCGGCCCCTTCGCGGCTACCTCGCGGCCCCTTCTCGGCCCCGTCGCCGCGCCTTCGTGGCCCCTCGCGGCCCCTTAGTGGCCCCTCGCGGCCCCTTATCGGTGTTGGTGTAAGGGCCTAATAAACTCAAGCTATTAAGACTTTATCACACTTAAAAACCTCTCCTCGGGGTCACCTCCAAGGGTCCTTGGGTGCCTGGTACAAGACCAGCCCCTATCCTCGGGTCCGAGTTTGTAGAGAGAGGGATCAAGAGGGACTTAGTCAAAACAGCAAGAGTACCTTGAACGTCGCGCAGCGTATCGTGCACACCGTTGATCGGATTAAGCTGAGAATTTACTATATCGAAGCTCGCTCCAAGAGCTTTAAAATGAACCAAATTGCCTCGCGAGTTCTGCCATTACGAAGTTATGGCTCGGACAGCGTTAGCCTAGCGTTGGAGTGCTAGCGTACTAGCGTTGACTCGGGTAGCATTCCGCCGTCGCACCGCGTAGAAAGGAAATTCCAGCAAGGTTGGAATTCGCTTGAATCAATTTCACTATATTCAGGTACAAACAGAGAAGGAATAAATAGCTCTAGCTAGCAAGGACCTTGGGAATCAACCTGGGAACAACCAGGGATGATCCCAAATAATTCAAAGCAACAGAACCAACCTGGCTGGACAAAAAAGCAAGTGGTAGGTTGGTGAACAACCTCTGGTTCTGTTTTTCCAACCTGGGAAAACAACCAGGTTCAGGTCCTAAAAACAGAATCTGTTTTGTCTTTGCCCAACCAGCCAAATGCTGGTTCCGCTGATTTCCCCTGGCCCTGTAGCATGCAGATACAGACAAACAACATCCAACCTTCACCTAAATTGTACCCCTATAGTGCCTGCCCTGCTACATTATAGTCAACCAAACAAAACAGTACAATTTCGAATTGGATAGAACTGAATCTGCGCAATCAAGTAAGCGGAACCATAAAGCTTCCATCTTGGGTTCCTTTGCGAGCTCGTCCTTTCTGCTTGTACTGTTCATAGCGCGTACAATGTTATGCCGAAGCGCACATTCTGCGAGTACCTGCAAATGCTTCAAGCGAAAATTGCGAAAGCAAACAAACACACGAGCATACCATTCACACGCAAATGCATTCGTACACGCATTCTCGTACAAACAGACGGCAGGATGTCGTGCAATGTGAATTTGCACCCAACAATCGGCCCCTTCACCGCCCTTAGCGGCCCCTTCGCGGCCCCTTCTCGGCCCCGCCGCCGCCGACAGCAGCAGCCCCCGCCGTCGACAGCAGCCGCCGCCGCTGCTGACAACAGCAGCCGCCACCGCCGCTACCGTGTTTGCCGCCGTCGCCCCTGCCCCGGCCGCAGCAACCGCCGCCCCCGACAGCAGCAGCCGCCGCCGCCGACAGCAGCAGCAGCCGCCGCCGCCGACAGCAGCAGCCGCCGCCGCCGCTGCCGTGTCAGGCGCCGCCGCCCCTGCCCGCCGCGGCGCCCTGGCCCCTGGAGCAGCCGCCGCTGCTGCAGCCGCCCCTGGCCCGTGGAGCAGTCGCCCCTGCAGCAGCTGCCCCTGGCCCCTGGAGCAGCAGCCCCTGCAGCAGCCGCGGAGCCCTCGCCCGGCAGTGGTAGCGGCCTCGCAATTGCCGCTGTCGTACACCTGCCCTTCTTGCCACTGGTGAGCACTGCTGTTATTGCTGTTACAGCTGCTCTTGCGGCTACTGCTCTTTCTACTGCTACTGCTGCTTCTGGCGTGGCCAGATGCAGCTCCAGCGCCGTCCGGTGAGTCCATCGCCCCCCATCAGCTTCGTGAGTGGTACGCTAGTTGGGGTTGTAGGGGTGGCCGCACTGCTACAACTGATACTGCTGCTCCTGACGGTGACCAGATGCAGCTCCAGCGATGTCCGCGTGAGTCCCTCACGCCCCAGCAGCTTCGTGAGTGGTACGCTACTTGGGGTTGTCGGGGTGGCCGTAGTGGGAGTCGTCCTGGAGTGAGTAGTTCCGCAGCTGCTTGTAGTGGCCAGGTGCAGCTGCACAGTCGTCCGCGCGCGGTCCTTTCGCCCCAGCAGCTTCATGAGTGGTACGCTCAGCGTGGAGGGTCACGGAGTCTTGCTCGCTGTCCGTACGTCATTCGCACTGGTGCTCGGACTGGTCAGCCTCTCGGGACGTTCGGTCAGACAGAGTCCCGTTGCTTCGCACGTCTGAGCGATGCCTGGCGTACGGAGTTTGGCGACGCAGCTTAGCTCCCTGACTGGGTGCAGCTGCTTGGGCAGAGGGTAGATATCTATACACTTGACTATGATGGTGTCCTCACTGCCATGTATGCATTGCCTACTAGTGATGAGGGTGATTGTTACTTGTGTGTTCCGCCTGACCCGGGCATTGAGGCTGCTGCTCTAGGTGCTGGTGAGGCAGCTGCTCTAGGAGCCAGTGCGTCTGCTACTCCAGGTACTGGTAAGTCTGCTGCCCCAGGTGCTAGTGAGTTTGCTCTCTCAGGCTCCACGTCGGCTCAGGTTTTGCACACCTTCACCCTTGACTCGGGTGCTTCCCGCTCCTTCTTTCGAGACCGCACCACACTCACGCCACTTAGTCGGCCGGTTGCAGTCTCCCTGGCGGACCCCTCTGGGGGTCCTGTCCTTGCCCACTTCTCCACTGTCTTACCGTGTTCCGCGGGCCCTTCTGGCACCCTGTCAGGTCTTTACCTCCCCTCGTTCTCTACGAACTTGGTGATTGGTGCTAACCTATAGGATGGAGGGGTTGACCAGTTCACTCCTGCGAGTCAGCGAGTGACCCACTGTACATGTGCTCGGACGGGCCGACACTTGGCCACGTTTACCCGTCAGCCGGGGTCGAGCCTGTACACACTGACTACTGAGTCTCCTCCGGTTGCTGCGTCTGGTCAGGTAGCTGCGTCGGGTCAGGTGCTTGCTGCAGCGTCCAGGTCTGGTCCTGAGTCTGCCCCCTGCTCCTGTCGTCTCCAGTCTCACCAGACTCTCCTCTGGCACCACCGCCTTGGTCACCCCTCCCTGCCTTGTCTCCAAGGCATGGCCTCTCGTTTCCTTGTCTCTGGTCTCCCCCGGTCCCTCCCTCCTCTTCCGCCGGGCCCTGCCCCCACCAGTGTTCCCTGCGTCGAGTGGTGGCAGCGCGCCGCTCCTCACTCCTCCGAGTTTCCTCCGACAGAGGCTCCGCTGCAGACGCTTCACCTGGACGTGTGGGGCCCCGCGCGCGTCCTGGACAGGTTCACGAGCATTACTTCCTGCTGGTGGTTGACGACTACTCGCGTTACACCACGGTGTTTCCCTTGCGCAGCAAGGGTGAAATTACTGAGGTGTTGATCGACTGGATCCGCGCAGCTCGTCTCCAGCTCAGAGAGAGTTTCGGCTCGGACTTTCCTGTTCTGCGTCTGCAGTCCGACAGAGGCGGTGAGTTTTCCTCTGACCTTCTACGAGCCTTCTGTCGTGCACAGGGCATCTGCCAGACGTTCACGCTTCCGGCCTCTCCACAGCAAAATGGGATTGCTGAGCGCCGCATTGGCATGGTCATGGATGTCGCTCGTACGTCCATGATCCATGCGGCTGCTCCCCATTTTCTATGGCCGTTCGCGGTTCAGTACGCGGCGCATCAGATCAACCTTCAGCCCCGGGTCTCCTTGCCGGAGACCTCCCCTACTCTGCGGTGGACGGGGAAGGTTGGCGATGCGTCTGCGTTTCGTGTCTGGGGATCTCGGGCTTTTGTCGGCGAGTTGTCTACGGACAAGCTGTCCCCCCGTGCTGTTCCCTGCATCTTCCTTGGCTTCCCCCCTGACGCGCCTGGCTGGCAGTTTTACCACCCCACCTCGCGCCGTGTTCTGTCCTCCCAGGACGTCTGGTTTGACGAGTCGGTCCCCTTCTACCGTCTCTTCCCTTTACCGCACTGCCCCGGTCCCCCCTCCGCCGCTCTTCCTCATGCCAGGTGCTGCCTTGGTAGACCCCTTGCCTCCCCAGGGTCCTGCTCCCTCAGGTGTTTCTCAGGTAGACCCGGTCGAGCCTGTCGAGGTAGCTGTCGACTGTGGTCCTGCGCGGGGTACTGAGCGTGCTGAGCCTGGTGGTGCTGGGTCTGGAGGTACTGCGACAGGGAGTGCTGAGCCTAGGGGTGCGGAGACTGGGGGTGCTGAGCCTGGGGGTGCGGAGACTGTGGGTGCTGAGCCTGGGGGTGCAGAGACTGCAGGTGCTGAGCCTGGGGGTGCTGTCCCTGGGGGTGCTGGGTCTGGAGTACCTGAGCCTGGAGGTGCTGCACCTGGGGGCGCTCTCTCTTCCCAGCAGCTGCGTAAGTGGTACTCTCGGTACTGTCGCAGCCTCTGTGGTGCTGCTGGAGCTGGCGCTGAGGGTGCTGAGCCTACTGGAGTTGGTGTTGCTGCTGACCCTGGTGTCGGCGCTGGAGGTGCTGGAGCCACTGGTCCTGGAGGTGCTCGTACTGGCGGTACTAGAGCTGCTGGGACTGGGGGTGCTGCTGGGGCTGCTGGAGCTGGTCCTGCTGGAGGTGCTGCTGGTGCTACTGGAGGTACTGGAGCTGCTGGTGCTGCTGGGGGTACTGGAGCTGCTGGGCCTGGAGGTGCTCCTGGTGCTGGAGCTTCTGGCGGTGCTGGATCTGGCGGTCCTACTGGAGTAGGTGCTGCTGGAGCTGCTGGAGCTGGAGCTGCTGGGGGTGTTGGCGCTGGAGGTGCTGCTGGCGCTGGTGCTTCTGAGGGTGCTGGAGTTGGCGGTGCTGGAGCTGGAGGTGCTGCTGGTGCTGGTGCTGCCGCTGGGGGTATTGGTGTTGTCCCTGCTGTTTCAGGAGGCGCTGCGCGGCCGCGGCCGTACTTCGTTCCGCTCCTTGAGCAGGTTCTTGGTCTCCCGCCTTCTACTGGTCCTGCTCCTCCCTTAGACTGTCCACAGCCTGACCAGTCGCAGTCACAGTTACAGCCCGCCTCCCCACTGCCTGCTCCTTCTCCCTATACTGGTCCTACTGGAGGTCTTGCTGAGTGTCGTGCACCTGCGTCTCGTCCTGCGTCGCCTGTTTGTGCTGCTCGCACTAGTCATCATGTTCCGCGTCAGCGTCCTCCTGCGGTCCCGGGCACGTACTAGATGGCACTACGTCCTTCCTCTGCTCCGCAGTCTGTCCCTTTGCCGTCTCCTCCGGAGTCCTCTCTTCCTGTTCTTGCTGACCCGGAGTCTGACTCTCTTCGTGCTGCCAGTCCTACTGTCACGCATCTCCTGGCTACTGTTGTCACTGACCCTTCCTTTGAGTCCACTACTTCGTCGGCCCTAGTTGCTGAGCTTGTCGACTTTGCTGCTCGCTGTCGTCTGGACTACGCTGCTAGTCTTGTTGCTGAGTCTGTCTGTCCTCCGTCCGTCGGGGGTGAGTGTGCTCTTAGCACGGACGTCCTTGAGGACAGGCAGGAGGAGTTCCAGTGTTTTGCTGCTGCTTTGCCTCATCTCGTGTCCATGCTGATTGCCCCTGAGGGAGACCCAGATGCACCAGACATCCCGACTCCACGCTCTTACGCGGAGGCGATAGAGGGTCCCTACTCCTCTCAGTGGCAGTCAGCCATGGACGCAGAGATGGCTTCCTGGAAGTCCACAGGCACTTACGTCGACGAGGTTCCCCCACCTGGGGCGAACATCGTCGGTGGCATGTGGATTTTCAGGGTGAAGCGGCCGCCGGGTTCTCCGCCTGTCTTCAAGGCACGTTACGTGGCTCGAGGCTTCAGTCAGCGGCAAGGAGTTGACTACTTTCAGACCTTCTCTCCCACCCCGAAGATGACCACTCTTCGGGTGCTCTTGCACATAGCCGCTCAGCGCGACTACGAGATTTACTCCCTTGACTTCAGCACTGCTTTCCTACAGGGCAGCCTGCACGAGGAGATCTGGCTGCGCCGCCCACCTGGCTTCACTGGGTCGTTTCCTCCTGATACCCAGTGGAGCCTCCGGCGGCCAGTCTACGGTCTCCGCCAGGCGCCCCGTGAGTGGCATGACACACTGAGGACTACACTTGCGGCTCTTGGGTTTGCTCCTTTTACTGCCGGCCCGTCGCTCTTTCTACGTTCCGACACCTCTTTGCTGCCGTTCTACATCCTCGTGTACGTCGACGACTTGGTCTTTGCTACTGCTGACACTGCTGGACTCGCCCACGTGAAGTCCGAGCTGCAGAAGAGACACGAGTGCACAAACCTGGGTGAACTGCGCAGCTACCTTGACTTGCAGATCACCCGGGACAGAGCACAGCGCACAATTACCCTGACCAAGTCACACATGGTGCAGCAGGTCCTTCAGCGCTTCGACTTCACGTACTCCTCGCCTCAGGCCATGTTGGTGTAAGGGCCTAACAAACTCAAGCTATTAAGACTTTATCAAACTTAAAACCTCTCCTCGAGGTCACCTTCAAGGGTCATTGGGTGCCTGGTACAAGACCAGCCCCTATCCTCGGGTCCGAGTTTGTAGAGAGAGGGATCAAGAATGACTTAGTCAAAATAACAAGAGTACCTTGAACGTCGCGCAGCGTATCGTGCAGACCGTCGACCGGATTAAGCTGAGAATTTACAATATCAAAGCTCAGTCCAAGAGCTTTAATATAAGCCAAGTTGCCTCGCAAAAAGTTCTGCCATTATGAAGTTATGGCTCTGACAGCGTTTGCCTAGCGTTGGAGTGCAAGCGTACTAGCGTTGACTCGGGTATTATTCCGCCGTCACACCGCGTAGAAACGAAATTCCTGGAAGGGAGGAATTCGCTTGAATCAAATTGACGATATTCAGGTACAAACAGAGAAGGAATATATAGTCCTAGCTAGCAAGGACCTTGGGAATAAACCTGGGAACAACCAGGGATGATCCCAAATAATTCCAAGCAACAGAACCAACCTGGCTGGACAAAACAGCAGGTGGTAGGTTGGTAAACAACCTCTGGTTCTGTTTTTCCAACCTGGGAAAACAACAACCAGGTTCAGGTCCTAAAAAACAGAACCTGATTTGTCTTTGCCCAACCAGCCAAATGCTGGTTCCACTGGTTTCCCCTGGCCCTGTAGCATGCAGATACAGACAAACAACATCCAACCTTCACCTAAATTGTACCCCTATAGTGCCTGCCCTGCTACACTATAGTCAACCAAACAAAACAGTACAATTTCGCGTTGGATAGAACTGAATCTGCACAATCAATTCAACCGAACCGCAAAGCTTCCACTGGGTTCCTTTGCGAGCTCGTCCTTTTTGCTTGTACTGTTCATAGCGCGTACAATGTTGTGCCGAAGCGCATAATGCTACCTGCACATGCTTCAAGCGAAAATTGCGAAAGCAAACAAACACACGAACATTCCATTCATACCCAAATGCATACGCACACGCATATTCATACAAGCAGACGGCAGGATGTCGTGCAATGTGAATTTGCACCCAACACACTCCCCCTCAGCCTGCCGGCTGCATCCCCATCATTCCATACTAGTTCATGCTCATTCCACTCATCCGCACACAGCACCAATGAGGCTCATCTGCAAGCCTCTTGGTGAGGAAGTCTGCTGGCTGCTGGTGAGTCTTGATGTAGATCGGATTCACCGTCCCCCTCTTCACCTCCTTACGCAACCAGTGCCACTTGATACGCATGCGCTTGTTCAGCCCATGAAGCACAGCGTTTCTGGCCATCCCAAGAGCTCCCTTGCTATTACAAACCAGTGGCGTATCAACCTTTTGCTCCTGGCCAATCTCCTCTAACAGCCTCCTCAGCCAAATCACCTCCTTCACCCCATGGAACATCGCCGTGTACTCTGATTCCACAGAAGAGAGTGCTGTCTCCGTCTGCTTTTTTTACCTCCAACTAACAGGTCCTCCTCCAACTACGCAGATGTATCCTCCCACAGATGAGGAATCCTCCCTCTCAGAGGCCCACGTAGCATCGGTAAAGCAAGTGAGAAAGAGCTTGCCTTCTCCAAGCCTCTCCCCCTTCTCTTTCAGCACCTCAACCCCTTTCTGCTTCACCTGTGCAGATGCGGAGTATTGAACTCCAATGCTTGGGTGAGAGTTCAGATACTTCACCACACGCTCAGCTGCATCCACCTGCTCCTTGGATGGATTCTGCACCACCCTAGCCAGCTGCCCAACCGAGAAAGAGATGTCGGGCCTTGTGTGAACTGCTGCATACAAGAGGCTGCCCACCAAGGACTGAAATTGCTGCTGCTCCTCGGCTTCAACCCCTTCATCCTCTGCAGCTTTCACAAGCTTGAATTCTGCTGGCAGGGGAGTTGCAACTTTGCGCTCATTCTCAATCCCGTACTTCTCCCCCAGCTCCTTGATGAACTTCTCCTGGTGCAGCTTCAACCACCTCTGATCCAGATCCCTCTCCACATGCCTCCAGAGATAGTACTTTACCTTCTGAATCTCCTTCATGCTGCTGCTAAAGAGAAGAATATCGTCTACATAGACCAGAAACAGCACCAGCTTCTCCCCCTCCCCCTTGAGAAAGAGGCTCTCATCACAGCTGCTGGTCCTGAATCCCATCTCCTCTAAAACAGCTACCAACTTCTGGTACCAGCAACGTGACGCCTGCTTCAAGCCGTAGAAGGACTTTTTCAGCTTGCACACCCTGCCCGTACCATCCTCATACCCAGGCGGCTGCGTCATGTACACATCCTCCTCTAAAATCCCATTGAGGAATGCCGTAGATATATCTATCTGAATGATGAATTTCCCACTAACGGTTGCATCTGCCAACAAGACACGGAGGGTAAGAGGTTTGGCAGTGGGAGCAAAGATCTCATTGAAGTCCCGCTTCTCCTTCTGCATAAACCCCTTAGCCACCAGCCTACTCTTGTAGATGGTGACCTGTCCCTTGTCATCGGTCTTGATCCTTAGCACCCAATTGCATTGTACGGCTTTCTTCCCCTCAGGCAGCACCACCAGCTCTCATGTCCCATTCTCTAGCAGGCTCTGGTACTCAGCATCCCTGGAAACCAGCCACTTCTCCCTATCTGGTCCAGCTAATGCCTCCTCCATGCTAGCTGGTTCCTCTGGTGCAGGGGCAAGAAAACAGTACGCAGGTTCATCCTCCTTATCCAGATCATAGCCATGCGGTAGAATCAGCAATGCCTCCTCTGTCCCAAGCTGCTGCTCTGCTACATCAGCTCCTGCAGTCAGCTTCTTAGTAGCCATACGGGTACGTCCTGGCCTGGAGACGGGTGTCTCCCATCCCCTAATAACAACACCCTTCGGCTTCTTAGTTTTTCCCTGCTGCTGCTCTCCTCCTTCGGATCCACCAGCTTCTCTAGTGCTATCGCTAGTCTCCACACCATCACCTCCACCAGCAGGTGCCTCGTGCACCTTCTCTCCATCACCACCCTTTGCAGCTGCCTCCTCTCCCTCCTCCCACACACTAGGAGTCAGGTCCAGCTGCATGGTGATCTTCTCCATCTGCTGGGACACCCTGGCCTCCGGCTGTTTCTCCCAGCTCCCATACATCATGCCCTCAACAAACTTCACATCCTTGCTGTCAAACAACACACCCTTGGAAGGTTCCCACAGCAGCCATCCCTTGCTCTCAGCAGCCAGCACCATATGCACACACCAGATTGCACTTGCCCCGAACTTACTGCGGTAGGTCTTGGGGACGTGGGCGACTGCCATGCAACCGAACACCCTCAGCATGTCCACCGGCGGCTTCCTACCAAGCCACTTTTCCAACGGCACCTACAAGTCATCCCCAACCTTGGTCAGTACCCTGTTCCTAGCGACGGTAGCGTGCCGAACAGCATGGGGCCACATAAAGTTGCCCAGCCCAGATTCTATGAGCAGCGCCCTAGCTGTCTCCAGAATTGTCCGGTTCGCCCGTTCTGCTACACCGTTAGACTGTGGGGTGTAAGCCGTGGTCAGCTCCCTCTGGATGCCCTGCTTCTTGAGCCAGGCCGTCATCTCAGCTCCAAGGAACTCACCACCCCGATCTGTCCTAATCCGCTTCACCACACACTCCGCTTGCTTCTCCACGAATGGCAGCCAATCTTCCCGTATCCTAGAGGCTGCATGGTCCTTCTGTTTCACCGGATATGCCCACATAAGCCTGCTCCAATCATCCACTATGGTCAGAAAGTACCGCTCCCCCTTGTGTCCCTGAACCGGCAGCGGCCCCACCAAGTCCATGTGGACTAGCTCCAACGGCTTCTTGCTCCTGCCAGCCACACTATGGAAGGGGAAACGGGAAAACTTTGAGAGCAAACAGATTTCACAATTCTCATCAGGTGGCTGTCCGTTCAGCTTCAGACCCTTAACGGCTCCATCTTTCTCCAACTGCTTCAACAAGAGCATTGCCACATGCCCCACGCGTCGGTGTGCCATTGCCCAGTCCGTATCCCCAGATCTGGCTGACACTTTCACACCAACCCCTCCAACGGCGTTGCACTCCCCCTGGGATGCAGACCCCTCTCCAGCCTGCCCCCCACCATGCCACGCCAACGCCGGCAGCTGCCACATGGATCTGTACACGTCCGTGCTCTCGTGCAGATCCCAAAGCACCCGATCGCCCAGCTGCCCCTTGTAAGTGCGTGCCCCTTCCGTGCTAGTGCTCACCCCAGCTTTGCCAAGCTTACGGAGGGAGATGAGGTTGGCCTTGAGTTCAGGAACAAGAAGAACGTCGTGCAGCACCACCGGCTTGCCATCCGCTCCCTTAAACGCAGCTCGTCCCGCACCAGCCACCTTCAACGCGTGTCCAGAGGCGGAGCACACCTCGTTGATCGGTGCAGCGAGTACGTGGTCCAGCAGGTCCTTGCGCGGCGTCATCGTCCAAGCAGCGCCCGTGTCCAACACCCAATAATCCAGGGGGTGCAGCTCTGCTCGAACCTTGGCAGAGGCGTCTTCTTGCTCCCCCTGCTCCCCCTGTTCTCCAATATGGAAGAACTGGCCCACAGTGCGCTCCTTCTTCTTTTCCGCACCGCCGTTGCTCTTCGGGTTGTTGTCGGACAAATCGGCGACCATGCTCGCGCCGTTTTTCTGGTTCCTCCGCGCGCCGCCATCCCGGTCACGATTCTGGGGGGTCCATCCATCGGGTTTCTTATAGCACAAAAACCAGGGGTGCCCCTCCTTCTCACAATACCAGCAACTCCCTTTCATTTTGCCACCAGCACCCGACTTGTCCCCACGTCCAGATTTCGCACCGCGACCCCAACCGGTACCTCCTTGTTGGTCGTTGGAGTCGTCGTCCTTCTTTGCACCGCGTCCAGCACCACCGAGGTGTGAGAATAAGCGAACAGGAATGAATGAACTAGCAGTGAAATGAGTACAAGTAGGAAACCCTAGAATTGTGTACCCCCTATAGGCTAACCCACTGTAGCCTACACAAGC